TCCTTGGATGTGCCGCAGCTTCGTCGAATCGATGAAGATTTCCTACTCTTCGGGAATCCCAACCTGGTGACTGTGACGCTGCCGTTGTTGGAATACGTGGCTGCTCGTGAGGGTGGTGGAATGCTGATCACTGACAATCTCGCCTTGACCCACTTCGACTTGACATCCTTGCGGAGGGTTGGAAACAGCACCGCACGGATCGGGGAACGAGATGGCAGCAGAGATATCAGGCTCTACACAGGAGCATTCAGATGGCAAGTGCGGGGACAGGAAGCAAGGCCCATTTTGATTGCACACAATCCAAAGTTGGTACGCATCAGCTTCCCGCAACTGGAGATTCTCAACACTGGCGTGTGGATTCAGAAGAATGAGAAACTGCAGAGCATCAATCTGGATTCGGTGAAGAGCGGCCTTTGCGGACAATTCTTCGTGATTCGTTTCCACCCCAGCTTGGGCAAGGGAGGACTTCATGCCGATGGCTTAGTCCGCATTGCAAACGACAGGTGCAGCATACACATAAAGAACTATCCTTGAAACAATCAAAGTAATGTTGGGTCCTGATTAGTGTGGGGCCCCCCCCTCCCCCTAAACAATATTTGGACTCTCTTTAAAGTGGAAAAACAAAAAATTTCTTCCCAGGAAAAAAAATCTCACTTAAGTAATGATTTCAATTGGCTACAATTGAAATCTAATTAAAACTGTTTTTTGCCGATGAACTTGTGGTACTTGTAGTACTTGTAGTACTTGTAGTACTTGTAGTACTTGTAGTACTTGTAGTACCTGTAGTACTTGTAGTACTTGTAGTACTTGTAGTACTTTTAGTACTTGTAGTACTTTTAGTACTTGTAGTGCATGTAGTACTTGTAGTACCTGTAGTACTTGTAGTACCTGTAGTAATTGTAGTACTTGTGGTACTTGTAGTACTTGTAGTACTTGTAGTACTTGTATCACTTGTAGTACTTGTAGTACTTGTAGTACTTGTAGTACTTGTAGTACCTGTAGTACCTGTAGTACTTGTAGTACCTGTAGTACTTGTAGTACTTGTAGTGCTTGTAGTACTTGAAGTAGTTGTAGTAGTATTTAAAAGCTTGGAGTTTGAATTTGGCAATTGCTTTTGGAAAAGGCTTGCTTCTCTTCTGGGCTTCCAGGAGCTGGTCTGGCACAGCTTGCTGCAATAGTGAACCCAGCAAACAAACCTACTAAAGTGAAATGGAGCCTCTCCTGGTCCAGGGCCTTGGAAAATTGTGGAAAAGTTGTTGTTTAATAAGGGTTTAACAAGGGATTGGCTCCTTGGGAAAGGCTTGGAGTTTGAATTTGGCAATTGCTTTTGGAAAAAAGTTTGCCTCTCATTAACTACAGTTTTTTTCAAAAAAAAAGGTCTCCCAAACTTTCTTGCCACAAAAGTGAACCCTCCAAACAATGCGTTTTGGCCCCAAGAATAGAGGAGAACCCATAGATTTCAGTACCACCATTGGTCACTAGGAAACTTAACAGAACCGATGCTATCCGAGGACTTTGCATGCGGCGTTGTGGTGCTGATTTTGCCTTGCCATCTCGATGTTCTTAACCTTTCCATACCTTTCCCAGCTTGTCAGAACTTGCGGGTTCAACATCTCCTGCTTTGGATCGCTTGAGAAATATCATAGTAAGATGTAGTGAGACTATCTCAGACTCAGAGATTTTAGAAGCGATTCCCGTACGCAATGCAAGAACTTCCCGCCAGTGCGCGTGTTGATTGGATTGATTGGTGATTCTGATTCTTGTGTCTTGGACTGGAGATGACAATGATGACAGCACACAGATGCACACAGTTTCTTACGTTAGTCATTCATATTATAACCCTCCTCTGTACTACCAGTTTTTTTTCCTGGGGGTTCAGTACGCTTTTTAAAAAACACTATTTTCCAAAAATCTAGCAGACAGTGGGTGAGGGTCCCGGGGCATGATATGGGGCCAGGAATAAAATATCATACCAAAAAAGGCCCAGATTTTTTTTCCTGAAAGCTTCCTGACGTACAGTGACAGGAAATCAATTTCTGCCTGTTGTGATTGAGGGGGGGTTGATCTATCAGTCTGTGTATGTAAGGCATCAGGAAATCAATCATGAATGACTCTGATAACGGGTAAGTTTGTAGAATTCCCAAGGTTAGTAGCCAGGAATTTGAAGGTGGATGGATCAAATGGGAGTTTACTAGAACATATCTAAATGTCAAACCCCAGGAAAAAATGTACCATGATTAATTGAGGGGGTATGATTCTTTACATGACTTTGCAAAAGGGTACAAACACATATGTTCACCTTCGAGGCCAAAGTGACTTCAAGAGGCCAAGGCGCAGGGGTCAAAAATAAAATCCAAGGGGCTGGACCTTTTTTGACTGAATACTTGCGGATGATCTTCAAAGGTTGGCCCCACAGGAAAAAAGTCGCATCACCAGGCCAATCATCCACTGATAGAACAATCATCCTCTCTCAAAGGTTAGGGGTCATAATTTTAGACCGATTTTTTTCTAGGACTGTACCCCACGTTGGAGTACAGACGGGGATCATTATATTTAGTCATAGCCATTCATAGTCATTCCGTATGTCTTAGACAGTGACAAGTGCTGGATGGTGCTTGGAAAAACGCAAGGACACGTAACCACAATATTCGTCGATTTTACGATATTCACCGCAAGGTGCAAGGCATAGGCATAAAGCAAAACACGGAGAACATGCGGTCCTGTCACTGAATTCCCCACAAATCTTGTCCGATCTCTTGGATCCAATTAAATCCATTTATATAAATCCAATATAAATATCAATGTTCAATCTTGCACGCTCTCTGCTTGATTGAAGTCATTTGATTGGCACTTGTTTTGCATGTTTCTCCACTTTTGACATGTGTTTGTTGTCGTATGTTGTCGTATGTTGTCGTTTTTGGACGCTGTTGCATTCTGTCCAGATTATCTGGAGAGGTGCATCTCAAGCGTGCCCATTTTTTATCTCATGATCCTCTTTCATCAAACCAGCAAGGTCCCAAGCCTTGAGCGCGGCTGCGCACCTGCATTGGTGAACTTGAATTGTAACTCGCCAGACTTCTGTGTGGAAAATGCACCAGTTCTATGGCTTCGACCTTGGTCGTGCCGGGAAAGCTATCACCTTCGACGCACCACAAAGACGTGCCCTGACCCATTTTTTGCAAATCTTGGGTGTGGAAGGAGCCCCGAAAGATGCACCTCTGTATTTTATGACTGGGCCATGGAGAACAGCTATGACTTCGAAGAGAACGTCGTTCAGCCATGGGTATCTCCTAGTCGATTTGCTCCGTATTACAGAGCTGCCAGAAGGCATTATCCCTGAGGCCATACGCCATTGTATGCCACTGTACACCCTTGCAGCACTTGCACGCCTCAGAGCTTTTGCAGCTGAATCTCTGGCTTTAGGCGATAGTGGTAGCTTATCCTGCTGAGATTCCAGGGGTACTCCCACACCGTGGCTGCTGCAGTGTAGAGTGTACAGCCCGCAGCTTTTGCCTTTGAATATCTTTAAACTTTAAATAGTTTTAACATACAGCTCCTAGTGTAGCTCCGGCACGGTCTGGCACTTTTGATGCACAGCGGGAAATTGCCGTTCACGTACAAGGCAGTTCGGCAGCTCTGCCCATGAATTTGCAAGTGTCGACCTCATACCGGTTCAAAGGTGCCCTTGGAAGCCGGTGGTAAGGATGGTGAACTATTCATGTTTGTCTTTGTCATGTGTTTCCTAGTTTTTGCCTGGTGTCAATGGTCAACTGTTTATTCGATGTCGGGTTTTTGCAAATTTTGTGTTCCTGTGGGTATCATAGGTGCAATATCAGGTGTGTATATATATATATTTTTATTTATTTATTTATTGATTGATTTATTTATTTATTATTTGTATTATATTCATTCATGCCTTGTTCATGCCAGGGATCGGTCCAAATGCTGGCATTGTCTCTGTTCCGACTTGCAGGTGAAACCAACCGATAGCTGTGGGATTTTTGCGAGCTGCAGTTTTTTTGGGGCTCTAAGATGCTGGACATTCGCATGCAGAAGGAGCAAGCAAATCAGGCAGCCAATATCAACCAATCGTATATCATCCATCGTATATCATTGAAATTCATTGAGTACAATTAGTTCCTTCATGTTCCTTCCATGTGTTCAGTCTAGCGTCAATCCCTCCGTTATTTCCTTGGCAATCGTAGGCAGTCCGTGCAGGCCAGGAGAGTCGGGTTGTGCATGAGTCATGCTTGGGTTTGACACGGCCTTGCACATGTCACGACATGTCACGACGTTTTCTTGGTAGGTCCCTGAGATGGAGCACAACAGCGCGGAAAAAAGTTGACGAAGTTACCATTCTCTGCATGAACCATCCTGAAGTATCATGAACCAGTTATCAATAGTTATCAGCCCTGTGCGGCTCTGCTGCGTTTCGGATGGTTTCGGACGTTGTACTTTGCTTTAGGGATGCATCATGCATCTTAACATGCCATGAACAAGCCGACGTAGCTGGCTCTAAGAAAGACAGCACACTTGCATGAAAGTCGCCTCCCCAGAAAAAGAACATCAAAGATTGCATTTGCATTCGAAACACCATTATCCAGGGTAGAAGTGCTATGCAGTGAATCTCGGACCAACATTGATCTATCGACTCAAGATTAGACGTGGCTTTCGCTGTAGATTGTATAGCATCATTCGGTATTGGGCTATCCCATTTTCATCGCAGCTGGGGACACAGTTGCCCTCGCTGGTCATTCTGGCTGATTTGGAACTGCAGCTCGCAGGCCATGAAGCATAATGGTGCAAGTTATGGCACCACAGAGAGGCTTCATTCAGAATTCCTCTGAACTTTTCAGATTATATGTTGATTATATAATGTATGATTAAGATTTAATTAATTATATTAAGTAAATGTAAGTAATCGCCTTTTCACTGGAAAGGACACTATTTTTCAAGTGCTCATGGTTTTTGATGTGTTTTTTGCAAGCCAGGTTCACCTGATGGCGAGTGGGTCTGAAGATGAAAGAGCTGACACTGCGTCCCTTCACCTTGGTTTTGGACTGACCCAATTTGGAGATTTGGTCAAGCAGCACAAGAATGGACGTCCGTTTCGCTTCGTTCCCTTCTGGCTTGTTTGGTGGGTTTCCTGTCAAAGCATATTTTCGGGAGTGGCTGGTGAGCATTCGGGCGCGAACATGCAGGGGACAGGACATGCAGGATTTGGTAATGAGACCCTCCCAGGCACTGCGCAATTGTTGCAGACCCAGGGAATGAATTTTCCCTCGTACTGTTTCCTTTTGGAGGACCATTTTCATGTCGACTCCAATGGTGTACTCATTGCAACGCTGCGCTTTGGTCCTGGAGGCAATGCTGGTCCCAGCGATGTGAAATGCATTGCCTCCAGGAAGGTGACAGAGATCGTGGGAAGCCTCTCAGTTACAGGTGCTTTGTCGCTCACGAGCATTTTGCTGCCGAAACTTGAGAGAGTTCGGGGTTCCCTCGTTTTTATGCAGCTTCCCAAGCTTGTGACAGAGACTTTCCGTTTGGATGGGTTGAAAAGTGTGAATGAGAACTTGGTGGTGCGGCACAATGAAGCATTATCCACTGTGACGTTTACACATTTGCGAAAGGTTGACAGGACCCTTGAGGTCGGGAGCAACCGGGTGTTGGAAAGAGTCTCCTTCAACAGCCTTACCTTTGTCGGTTTGCACCTACTGATCGACAGCAACCCTGTTTTGGAGCTGATCGGAGCCGCCTCCCTGGAAGAGATCAGATGGGACCTCATCATTAGTAGCAGTGGCCTGCAGGAAATTGACTTTCCTTCCCTGAAAAAGATTGGGGAAGACCTGGTCGTCTACGTCATGGATGACCTGAGATCTATTCGACTCCCAGTGCTTTCCTTCGTAGGTGAAGATACAGAGTTTTTTCACTTGGTGCGACTTCAGAGTCTGACCCTTCCTGCTCTGGAAGTGATTGGAGAAGATTTTGAGGTTCACCATTGCTACTCCCTTGGCTCAGTTTCAATGCCTTCTCTTCAAAAGGTGAAGGAAGATGTAGAGATTCACAATTTGCCTGTTTGTTCCGCCATTTCCATGCCGAAGTTGTCAGACATCGAGGAGGACCTGGAAATGTACAACCTTGATGCTTTGAAGTCATTATCGCTGCCCTCATTGCACACTGTTTGGGAAGATCTGATCCTAGGAGGGATGGCTGTCGCTTCCGACCTATCCATGCAGCAACTGACCAAAGTGGTGGGGAGCTTTTGGCTCTACAACATGCCCAACCTTTTCAGAGTGGATCTTCCTAAGCTTGCCCATGTCGGGGGCAAAACAAGATCCCATCCACCACCTCAGAACAGCTGCCACTATGGACTCGGAGATTGTGATGTTGAGGACGAGGAGAATGCATTCTATATCACTAACAACACCCGGTTGGAGCATGTACGAATGGAGAGTCTGGTTTCAATCAGGTCTCCCTACTTCGCCATCTTCGGAAATGCCGCCCTTCTTTCAGTAGAATTGCCTCTTCTCTCAAGGTTCCAGGTGCCCAAGCAGACAGTATCCTGTAGCTTAACCAGCCTCTTCGGTGTTTTTCAGAATGAAGCCTTGACGA